GAGCCAAAGATGTTAGAATTGTGTCGATGTCCCAATATTTCTGGACCTGACTGTAGATGGCTGCAGCAGAGATGGTGACTGGTGCCTCTTAAAGATGCCACATTATTCCTATATTGAAAGAACTGCACCAGTTGTTAATCACTTTCCAAGCCTGGTATAATCTGCTTACTATGGTATGCAAAACTTTTCATAGCTTAGCTCAAGCTACTTGCAGGATGGCCTGATCCTGAAAAGTCCTCCCAGTACCCTTAAATCATTAATAGGCATATTTGCAGGCACCACAGCTATGGATACATACGGCAGTAAGGAGAGTGTCACCATCTGTCAGTCCTCCCAGGTAAACCAGGCAGGAAACATGACTAGATGAGCTAATTCTACTTTATTGTAAGGCTACATTAACAGAATCTTGCAAGTCTGAAAGTACAAATCTCCTACCCTCCCTATTTACCACCTGGGTAGTTAGGGTGGGTCTTTCCTAAGTTTCTTTCTCTGGCTGTTACTTCTGAATAGTCTTCAAGAGAACTCCCATGTAGATCAAATTGCTGTGAGATGAATTTAAGTTTCCAAGGCCAAATGAATTAAATACCACAGTGTTGAAGGAACTGGCAGAAGTGATCTAGGATCTACTGTAATATTTAAAGACTCCTGGAGAACTGGTATAGGTTTGAAGGATTAGAGAAAGGCAAACATAGTTGCATTATTCAAAAAGGGAAAGGAGGCCTCAGGAAATTACAAACTAGTTGGTTTAACATCTGTTAACTGGGCAACGTACTTAAACAGAATGTATAAATGCACTTAGAAAAGAATGTTACTAGAAGCTAATGTGGAATTTGTCAGCAACGGGTCATACAAGTTATACAGTTGTATCACCTAAAACAGCTCCTTCGTATAACTTGCATTTATACAGTATTCTCTGTATAAATCAGACACAGCCTGTAGTAATCCTAGCAGACCTTATGTACAAAGGTGACCAATACCATTTATCAGTTAAAAAGCAATGATCAGAATGCCTCCCATATCTGTGGGTAAGCACCACTTAGCACTTCAGATCAGCACGAGTGAGCTGCCTCAGATGGAACCTGAACTCAGTAACTAGGTTGAATACAAAAGCAAAGGAAAAAGACAGATGTTTTGACTCATGCAAGGGCTCCCTAAGTTCTAGCCTCACTGAGGTCACTTACAGCTGTGTCAATATTTGTTGCATGCAAATGTTGGACCAGGTCCTGGAACAGCAAAAGATACACACCAGCTATTCCACACTGGAGCTCTAACTCTTATTGCCTCAGAGAGATACATAACAGCAAAAGCAGTTAGTAGCAAAACATCTATTTACTAGGATTGGTTGTAAATGTTATCACAGAAGGCATACACTAGTTGGGAGTCAGGAATCGTCAGAGACTTTTTTTTAAAAAGAGAAATCTTTATTATATGGAGGACATTTGGAATTTTAAGAGCATGTTATGATCACTCTCACAAATTGGCTGCCATGATGAAAGCGGTTAGTAGCAAAACATCCATTTACTAGGATTGGTTGTAAATGTTATCACAGAAGGCATACACTAGTTGGGAGTCAGGAATCGTCAG